TGCCAATCTATCAGTATACCCTTTCACAGGCCCGTCCTTTAGGTGGGGAACAGGGGCAACCGCCTGGGGCCCCGCGCGTGTGGGAACCCCGCGGGGCCCAGCAGTAGACCCAGTGACCTCGGACACATTACCTGTTGACTGGTTAATCTGACCTGACGGCTTTTCCACCATCGCAACCGTGACCTTACCATCCATAGCGACAGTCCCATAGGGGCTGGTGGGGGTGGGTTCCTCTGACCGCATAATCTGATTCCATAATCCATTGCACTCCAATCCACACAGCCAGTCCACCAGGGTCAGTAACTAGTGAGATCAGGTTGTATCCTGTCCTGGGGCCCCGCAGTGGCTGAGTTGCCCCGGGCCCCGCACCCTCCTAGGGGCGGCCCTGCCCTTTCATCCATCTGTCTATCCATCTATCTCATACAGTATATCGATCTATCACTTCTACTTGATGTTAAGTTAGGTGGTATTATTGCAGTTTCGGCCAATACGCGGCCGACTGTTTTAACCATCCCCAACCCTTAGATCTCCTTATTAGGAGTATTTCTAACCCCATTTCATCCAGGGGGGCAAAGAATAATAACGTCAGAAATGAATTTTAAAGATTATCCATATTTTGGGGGATAACTAAAAAACTAGCACTTTCTCCCTGAAATGAAGATCAATTTCGATTAAATCACCCCAAAATACACAGGATAAACACATTTCTAAACTACTAGAGCATATTGACCGAAACTGCAATTTTACCAGTTAGGTGAGATTAGATAAGGTTAGGCTAAATTGCTAGCTTAAGTTTGATTGGGTTAAATTAAGTTAGATTGGATTAGGTTAGATTAAATTAGATTAGGTTAGGTTAGATTAAGTTAATTTAGGTTGAGAAAAATTTATACAGCTAATATTGATATTATTATAATGTTGCCTAACCTAATGGAATGCGTATATCGTAATCAACAGGAATCAATGAATCACATATGCAGTTTTACATTTTTTTAATATCAAATACAAACCCTAATTATTATAAGTCTTGTTTAATAATACATGTTTATTCATATAAATAAACTTCCTGTTTTCTTCTTTAAATCTCTCATCTAACTTAACATAAGAATGGAGGAAACTGCAGCGGGCCTATTGGCCCATACTGGGCAGTCCCGTTTATACCCGACCCCTATTGCTCGTATAAGCATCCAACCTATGTTTGAAGCTATTCAGCGTATTCGAGTTAATGATGATATTTGGTAACTTGTTCCATTCTTCCACAACTCTGTTTCCAAACCAGTGTTTACCTATTTCACGCCTAAATCTAAATTTGTCTAATTTAAAACCATTGTTACGAGTTCGCTCCTGGTTGGATAGTTTGAGTACCTTTGTAATGTTCCCTTTCTTTAGCCCTGACTTCCACTTATACACCTCTATCAGGTCGCCCCTCGCTCTACGTCTCTCCAGGGAGTGCAAATTAAGGTGCTTTAACCTGTCTCTATACTCAAGGTTCCTAATGCCCGGGATTAGTCTTGTCATTCTCCTCTGAATTCTTTCCAATGATTCTATATCCATTCTGTAATACGGTGACCAGAACTGAACTGTGTAATCCAGGTGTGGTCTCACAAGAGCAAGATACAGTTTAGGATGACCTCGCTAGTCTTGTAACTAACACTCCTTTGTATGAACCCAAGTACTTTATTAGCCTTGTTACGAGCAAAAACACATTGTTTATTTGGCTTAAGGTTCCTACTTATCATTACTCCTAAATCTCTCTCGCAGTCGGATTTCTCTATGGCATCGTTGTTCATCTGGTATCTGGTTTCCCTGTTTACATCTCCTATACTGAGTACTTTACATTTGTCCACGTTGAATTTCATCTGCCATTTTTCAGACCATTCGAAAAATTTGTTTAGATCTTCCTGTAGTTTTGCGGAGTCCTCGTCAGATTTAATACACGTCCTATTTTAGTGTCATCAGCAAATTTACTTATGTTGCTGTCTATGCCGATATCTATGTCGTTTATGTATATAATAAATAATAATGGTCCAAGTACTGAGCCTTGGGGAACTCCACTTGTGACGTTGCTCCAATGGGACTTAGTGCCGTTAATGCTCACTCGCTGTTTCCTGTCCTGTAACCATGCCCTAATCCATTTAAGGATACCTTTGATGCCATGAGCTTCTACCTTTCTAATTAGTCTTTCGTGGGGGACTCTGTCGAAGGCTTTGCTAAAGTCGAGATATACCACATCATAATTGTGCCCCTCGTCCACCGATTCGAAAACTGATGAAAAGAATGTTAATAGATTAGTTAGACAAGAACGTCCGCTTGTGAAGCCATGCTGGGAATCATTGATCAATCGGTGCTTCTCCAGGTGATTTCGAATAGAGTTTGAAATGATTGCTTCCAGTAATTTGCCTACTATTGATGTTAGACTGATTGGGCGGTAGTTAGAGGATAGTGATCTATCCCCCTTCTTGAAAATCGGTATTACATTCGCTATCCTCCAGGATTCTGGTACTACACCTGTTTTTAAGGACATGTTAAACAACTTAGCTTAGGGCATACTAAGCTCTTCCTTACATTCCTTTAATACTCTGGCAAATATCTCATCGGGACCAGGTGACTTATTAGGCTTTAGTTTGTCTATTTGCTTAATAACATCGTTACTAGTCACTACTATCTCTTAAATCCTCTTGTATATATTTTTAATGAAGTTTTAATCTAACTAATCCTTACCTAACCTAACCAGTTTAATTAGAAAAGTCTAATATCCTTTAATTATTCAACTATCTCTTTTACCATACATTTTTCCCTTACAAAAGCCCATACTATTCAAGACTAAATATTGATGAATCTTACTCTCTTAATTCCTGTTAGGATATAGATTTTAATTAATAAATCCTACTGAACTATTAAATAGATATTAATTATTTTTTAATAATATATCCCAACTAAGTATTGTATTTAAATCCTATTCAATAAATATACTGCAGAGAGATTTTAATTAATAAATCCTCCCAACTCTCGATGTAGTCACTATATAGATTCTGATTAATACTTGTAGATCCAACCTAAATTTTGAATTGATCTTGATAAATTTATTCTAGCTAATAAACCCTTCCAAACTCTTGATTTAGCCATTACTCATTTATTTTAATTTATAAATCCTACCTCTCTAGAATCAATCTTGTATTGATTTCAACTAATATGACTTAAGTTTGGAATATCTTACCTAACTCTGAAATCGGTTCTTGATATGGGTTTTAACTTAAAAAAAACTGTCACATTAGTCAAGATGTTTAGAATGTGAGTAGTAATTCCTTACCCAATTCCTATATGATAAACCAACAATCTTTGACCCAACTCCAAAAATAGTGTCTTGACATTCGGATTTTAACTTATAAAACCTAACCAACCTGTCATATCCTAACCTCCACAATTTTGTGTTAACTTTTGGATTTTAAACTATAAAACCCAACTCCTTAAATCCATTTTTAACATATAAATTTAATTTATGCCAAAACTTTATAAGTGATTGTGAGGTCACATAGGCCTGATGGCTCATTATAAGAAAACAATATTTTACTTTATATTCAGTCTTCACACGGATTACAATGTGAATTTTAATTTACCTTACTCAACTCAGAAAATTTAGTCATGGTATATGGATTCAAAAGCTCATCACAGGCGATGAGCTTCAGTTTTCTCGTAAGTGTTGTCAAGTGGATGTATCTATTGTATACAGTTATGTAGTCCTCATTACAAACTGAAATTCAGAGTGAAGGCTGCAGTAGTCTGAACATACAAGTACAGTACAGCATTCTGAAGGCTCCAGTCACCAGCGTTAATACTAGAGCCTTCCTAATTGCTTTGTGATTACATCAGCCTGCACCCTGAATTCCAATTTCTTTAAAAGACACGTTCATCTAAGACTCTAATGGTTTCACAAATTTCTTGACCTTCAAGAGCAGATATTAGACTCCGTAAATATGGAATTTTTCACCAACATTACCGACATCGATGATGATTATGGTGATGGTGGTGATGTAGATAGAGATGCGTTTATGATTGGAAGGAGGGTCAAAAAGAAAGTGGGAGCAAGTGGCTCGCTTTGTAGAAGAATCTGTCAGCATTAAGGAGAGGCCATTACTTTGCCTTTTTTTTAAAACTAAACGACAAACGCTCATTTGCCTTCAAGCGCCGCATGCGAGCTCTATCGTTCACGTATTTGTGATAACCTAAGTCATAGAAATACGAAATAACTGTCATGTATGAAAAGGACATGATTCCGTACATCCCCCTAAGATTCTCGACTCTAATTGTTCAGTCCTTTTACGTAACTTCCTGAGGACTGGTGACTTGCCAGAGTCACGAGAAGATGCGGTGGATTTTAATCGAGTTACTGTGAAATTTTAAACGTTCTAGTTTTATAGAAAATATAGATTCCTTTCTATGTTTTTGCTTGTGTAATATATATCTTCTTTTTTCGCGAGCCATAACATAATTTCAGAAGGTTTGAAAAATGTTAACTTGGTAACTCTTTAATTGCAGATGTTACACGTTAAAACTCAAGAGCCACTGAGAGGTTATCTTCTCTTGGGCTGACCTAATATAATACCTGAATAGTTTACCTCTTTCCTTCTTATAGAATTGTAAATGGCTGTTAAATGTGATTCGTTATTCATGTAAATGCTTCACGTGGATCCGAGGGCGTTGAAGTCTCTAGAAAGGGAGGCGAGATATCTTCCACGCACCGTGAATCATACACACATCCCACATCAATCAGTAATTACACAAATCCATCAGTTATTGTATGACAATTTTCTTTCGGTTACTAACTTTTGAAAACGCTAAAAAATAGATTGTTCTTTCCAGAATATTACTTAAAAATAGTTCAGTACTTATATTGGAGTGAAATTATCATAAACGTTATATTGTGCGAAGAGTTGTGAAATTTTCCTGAGTGTCTGTGTGTGTCGGTGTGTGGGAGGCAGGGTGGGGCGAGCGAGCCAGCAGCTCAGGCTACACTGTCAGTGTGGCGAGAGTCGCCAGTCACTCAGCCAGTGCTGCAAGAGTCAGTTACGCCAGTGTAGTGTCAACGTTGGTGCTGAGAATGTGTCGTACAATGATTGGATCGTTCATTTTATAATCCACACTTGTGCTCAAATAATGGTGTGTTTTTTTGCCATAGGGGCCTCCGATTAAACGTATGTTAAAACTCTCTCTTGTCCAATTATGTGGGATGTATAAGGTGTAGTCGTTGAGAGAAATACCCATATTTGTTTTGAAGAAACGTTTATATTTTTAATAATCTCTGAAGTGAATATGTTGAAACCTTTTCGCTTGTTGAGGATGATTGGCAGGCACTCGTTTTGAGATGCTTGGATTTGAATTACTGAAATATGTGACTCGCTTCGTAATGAATTTAAAGGTTCTCACGCAGAATTTGTGAAGTGCGGATATGGTTCTCTGGTAACTTGGGACGCACTGCGTAATTATTATATGTTGTTTGAATTCAATACTTTCTTCATTGAATTAAGGCTTGAGGAGTATGGTGAAAACTTGTCTGTAAACTATTTGGTGTCTGTTTTGCAGGGTGTATGTCTGTAGGTGAAACTTTTTTCTGTAAGCAATTAAATAAGTTTGTTTACATGGTAAAAGAATGTGTACATGTGAATTTTGCCCTGTGGAAACATTTGCCTGCTTTAATTTATTTTAAAGCAGTTAAACATGTAAAGCTTTGGTAGTATCATATGGAATTCAGAACTTACCAATTTAAAAACTGCATGATGTTTACAGTTGTTAAATGAAAACGAGTCAAGTTTCTAGGAGTTAGCTTTCAAGAACATAAGAATGGAGGAAACTGCAGCGGGCCTATTGGCCCATACTGGGCAGTCCCGTTTACACCCAACCCCTATTGCTCATATGAGCATCCAACCTATGTTTGAAGCAATTCAGCGTATTCGAGTTAATGATGATATTTGGTAACTTGTTCCATTCATCCACTACTCTGTTTCAAACCAGTGTTTACCTATTTCACGCCTAACAAAAACAACCGGGGTAGGTTATTTTTAACTGCTGTATATGGTCGGAAAGTGATACAGTTACCTACTAGTGATTTTTTTAGTGACTTGCTGTATGAAGAACCTTAACACTTTAGTGGGTTACCTGACTTCAGTCCGCACTTATGCAACAAGTGTATATCCTAGATTAATTTTGTTAATTGTAGCCTACATTTGAAAACACAACCATATGGGCAACTAGATGAGGGCAATGTGGCTATTTTAAGATTCATTTTGTTTTCACTATTATAAAATAACGTACATACTGTACACTCACCACTTATCTTGCTGACCCTAAAAAGAAAAGGACCCTCAAAGCCCACCTGGTGACGATGGAATATCCATGCATAATACTGTGTATGTATTTTCAATTTCATTTCTGGCTACCTGTGTCTCAGGTCTATCCAGCTATGGGAAAATTTAAACACATAAATTTAGGAAAATCCAGGTATTGGATTACAACGCCGAAAATTTAAATTTTATCCTAAACGTTCCACGTGTCCCCTCCTATCTTAACAGCTTCCTGTCATTGTGGATTTTGTCAGTAGTCTAATGGTTGAGTGTTTATATATCACGATAACCGTAGTTACAGAAGGCAAAGCTTTTGTAACTGTTTTCACATAATATTCATAAACTTGTGTTTAATCCAACTGTCATATTAAATTCACTTTGATTTTTGTTTATAATTAAATTTTAAAACATAGATGATTATTAAAGTAGGTTATCAGTTTTCTCTTGTACGGTTGATCCAATGCTTAGATGCAGGCCCGTCCTTTAGGAGGGGGGGGCGACCGCCCAGGGCCCCGCGCGTGTGGGCCCCCACGGGGCCCAGCTCTAGACCCAGTGACCTCGGACACATTACCTGTTGACTGATTAATCTGACCTGACGGCTTACGCCACCATCGCAACCGTGACTTTACCATCCATGGCGACAGTCCCATGGGGGTTGGTGGGGGTGGGTTCCTCTGACCGCATAATCTGACTCCATATATATATTTTCTGGGGCCCCGCAGTGGCTGAGTTGCCCCGGGCCCGGCACCCTCCTAGGGACGGCCCTGCATAGATGTCTTTAAAAATTAAACGTGTTTGCATTTTGATTTTGTATAGTTTGGTAACAATAATAATATTACGTACATAGGTTATATACGTGAATGTTCAAAACATTTGCGTCTTTCTATAAGTGATGAAATGAAGTCCTGTTAATCAGAGCGACGAGTTCGTTAGACCGATACTTACCTGAACTTGGCAGTTACTTTCTTACACTTCCCCAACATCATAAGAACATAAGAAAATAAGGAGTCTGCAATAGGCCGGTTGGCCTGTGCATGGCAGCTCCTGTCGAGAGTTACTACCACTCTCTATCATCCATGAATCTATCTAGCCTCCTTTTGAAACTTTCCAGAGTTCCCGCACTTGCTACAAAGTTGCTAAGTTTGTTCCACTCGTCCACCACCCTATTTGTGAACCAGTTTCTTCCTATCTCCCTCCTAAACCTAAACTTATCCAACTTGAATCCGTTGCTCCGAGTCCTATCCTGCTCGGATATTATAAGAACTTTATCCCCTTTATTGATTCCTTTCACCCACTTAAATACTTCTATCATATCTCCCCGCACTCTTTGTCTTTCTAGGGAATGCAAGTTAAGTTTCTTTAACCTATCCTGATATGGAAGGTTTCTAAGTCCCGGAATCATTCTTGTCATTCTTCGCTGCACCGACTCAAGTGAATTTATATCCATTCTATAATAGGGGCACCAGAACTGAACCGCATAATCGAGGTGCGGCCTGACTAGCGCAAGATATAGTTGCAATAAGACCTCCGCACTCTTGTTACTTACACTTCTAGATATAAAACCCAATACTCTGTTTGCCTTATTTCGAACATTAACGCACTGTTTTCTAGGCCGTAGGTCCGGGCTTACAAGTACCCCTAGGTCTCTCTCACAAGTCGACTTCTCTAGGTTGATGTTGTTAAGGCTGTATACATTGACAGTATTTGTTCTTCCAATATTAAGTACGCTGCACTTGCTGGTGATGAATTTCATTTGCCATTTTTCAGACCACCCCTGCAGTTTATTTAGATCCTCCTGTAATGCATTTGCATCCTGCCCTGAATTAATTTGCCGCCCTATTTTGGTGTCATCCGCAAACTTGCTTATGTCACTGCTGATCCCAGTATCTAGATCGTTTATGTAGATTATGAACAAGAGTGGGCCTAGTACTGACCCCTGGGGAACCCCACTGGTTACACGGCCCCACTCAGATTTAACACCATCTACGCTGACCCTCTGCGTTCTATCGGTGAGCCATGATTTTATCCAATTTAAATTTTTTTCCTCGATACCATGAGCCTTAATTTTTCTCAGAAGCCTCTGATGCGGTACTCTGTCAAATGCTTTGCTAAAGTCTAAGTAAATAACATCGTAATTTTCGTCATTATATACTACCTCGAAGACTTTCCTAAAAAACGTTAGCAGATTTGTTAGGCAAGATTTTCCCTTTGTAAACCGATGTTGAGAGTCGTAGATTAATTTGCTTTTCTCTAAATGCGATCGGATGCTATCTGCTATAATTGATTCAAGAAATTTCCCCACTACTGACGTCAAACTGATCGGCCGGTAATTTGACGCTGATGCTCTGTCTCCCTTTTTGAATATGGGTACTGCATTTGCCTGTTTCCACAAGTCTGGCACAACTCCAGTGTCTAATGATTTTGTAAATAAGTTTACGAGGGGTCCGCTAATCTGTTCCCTACACCCTTTGAAGACTCGAGGGCAAATTTCATCCGGCTCTGGGGATTTTGTTTTCTTTAGTTTATTTATCATCTTAAGAACATCATCTTTTCTGATAGTGATATTCTTTAATTTCTCTTCTTCCTTTCCCTTAAATATCAGTTCCACCTCTGGAATTTCATCACAAATTTCTTCTGTGAAAACTGATAAGAAGTAGCTGTTCAATGCTTTGCTTATTTCTTCACTGCCATTTATCACTTCTCCCCTCCCTGACTTTAAAGGCCCAACTTTGTCCTTGACCTTTGTCCTATATACCTGGAAATATCCCTTGGGATTCGCCTTGGATTCTCTTGCTATTTTGATTTCATAGTCTCTTTGCTTTCCTTACATTTTTCTTAACATTCCTAGATAGTTCATTATACCTATTTCTGAGCTGCTCCTCCCCCCCTTTAATTTTTTATATATTCCTTTCTTTATTCCTATGTCATGTTTAAGTTTTCTGGTCATCCACCTTGACTCATTCTTATTTGACCTAATTTTTCTGTATGGTATATTTTGTTCTTGTGCTTTATGTAGTATACTAGAGAATATATTATAGTCATGATTAGGGCCCGGATAGTTATGCATTTGCATATTTCATATGCAAATGCATATTTTGCGTGATTTCTATGATAAGTGCATATTACCTAGATAACTGCATATAAATGCATATTTTGGTAAAATATTCATCTGGCAGTATCTCTTTGTTGCCACTGAATGAGCACACGTGGTACTGGGAGGTGAGGTGAGGTGTGGTTAGGTGAAGTGAGGTGAGGTCACGTCGCTTTAATCTGTTGGTTAATGGTGTTCTTGATGAACTGAAGAGTTTGCAGTCTGATGCTTACTATGGTAAACTGAGTAACGTGTTGTACAAAAACAAGGTATTTGAAAAGCTGAAAAAAGTCAGTCAGATAATGTCTGGTGATGCTATTATTGACGAGACGGTACAGCCACTCACTATGTCAGACCTCCTATGTATGAAACATGCACCAATCGTCTCGTGTGATGTAGAAAGGGTGTTCTCAGAATATAAAGCTATGCTGACAGACAACAGGCGGGGTTTTAACTTTGAGAACTTACGCCACCATGTCATCATCAAATGCAACCACAATCTGTAATGTCTGAAAATATGTCAGTCTATAATGTAAATACATGTTCATATATATTTTTTGAAGCACTTTCACATATATATGTTAAATACATTACGTATATTGCTTAATAAACATTAACATTAGTTCATATTAACTATTTTGTTTCCGTATAACCTGCATTCTTGGCTTTATAAGTGAATTTTTTAGTGCATATAAATGCATATTTCCCCTGTTTTTAGTGCATATTTGCATGCATATTTCATGGTTTTTTAGTGCATAACTAT